AGGGGCCCATGGGTTCAACCCTAAAGAGCCTGCATGATTCTGCAGGCCTCGTCCTCAGGTCACGCTGACTTCATGGCTCCTTCTTGCATGGACCCTGAACTAAGCAACATCTGAACATGCAAGGCCTGAGCACGAGGGGCAAAGCTGGAAACTACAGTAGTAGCCATAGAACCATCAGATACGCTGAGCCGCAAAACTGGGAAACGTGAGGTGTGGAAATTGGTTGTCGGATTGCCCGCGAGCTTGCCTTGCCCAAGAGCGAGGTCCCATGCATGAGCAACTCTCTGTACTGGCAGAAGGGTGCTCAGGAATTGAAGTTTGTTGTTGGGCTTTGTTCGGTGCTGATGGGTCAGGTCGTTGACAGGCCGTCTCGGGCTGCGCTTGTTTGCGGGCTTTCTGGGGTGTGCCGGTCTGCCTGTTCCGTTTTCATGGCCTCTTATGTCTTGTTGCCATATTGAAACATATAGGTGCCTCGCACGGAGCCTGATGCGACTGAACCATCTGTTCTCATGCCTTTCTATGTCTCCATTTTCTAGCATGCAGAGGACAGCAGAAGTTCTAGCATGTACAGATCAGTATTCGAAACAGCCTTTTCTCAATCGTGGCGTTCCATGGGCGAGCCCCCCCACTCTGCAGGAAGACTGGCTGGTAGTGGTTGCGCGTCTGCCACTCTTCTCGCAGGCTTCTGCAGTGTGCGAGGTTTACCTATAGTCTCCATTGTAGTTCCTTTTTGGGGATACCTTATAAACTCGTTAATATATATGGTTAAACCAAAAAAAGGAACTACAATGGAGACTATAGGTAGATTCTATTCTCCCATGACTGGTGTCTTGTTCCTCAGGCTGCAGAGTTCCGGTATGCCAACCCTAGAGCAAAAAATGGGTCGAAGCTTCGCTTGGCGCTCCCTAGGCTTGATACCTTGTTAAGAGGCCTGAACCCGAACAGCCACAAGCCCACGCAAGACAGGAGCAACCTACATTATTTGTCCCCTCTGCCTGTAATCCAGTATGACCATTTGCTCCAATTGCCTACCCGGCTAGCTCATCAGTCTGCACAAATTTCGGGTTTCCATACCAACCCATCTTTCCTGCTAGCGACGTTTTACTTGGAAACTTCGCACAGACCGAAAAAATTTGCCTTCCGACATATCTCACCGCTCTCCACAATGCCTGGAAAGTGATGAGCTGATGAGTCTATCAAACTCCTGATGGAAAACAATCCGAAGAGCCTAGCCACCCCTTCAGGGCTGCTTGAATGCCAGTCGTCTCATCCAAGCTGGCGGACCGAAGAAAATGGACGGGTGCCTCGGCGAGGCGTTCGCAGTTGTCAGACCGGATTCTGAGAACCGCAGTACGCCAGCGCTGTCGCTCTTATTATGCGTGCCGTTTCCCAGCTCAGGTATGGCTCCCAGAAGACGTCCGAGGATGAGGATGAGCTCGGTGACTAGTAGCCTGCTTTGATGAGAGTCTCTGGCTCGGTGCAGCTCCGTATAGACTGGACTGGTTCCAGATCTTCCGGCCCCCGGAATGCCATTGTACAGCAGGAAATGCTCAAAGGCATTGCTGCGCAAATCGGCACACCTGCTCCCGGCAAGAAGTGGCTGTAGATCGCCCTTGCGTGCCTTTGGGGCTCCATGTCGGTGCTCTCAGAGTGTAGACAAAGGTCGCACAGGGGGCGCAATACTAATCTTGTGGCTTGGAGAGGCGCTTTTTTGTCGTTGCAGGCAGCACAATGCAACCATGTGGCACTCCTAAGCTTGTAGGTTCGCATCGCTGAGAATGTGAAGAGGCCACAAGCCTCCTTTCCTGCTGTTTTGCGAGAGAATGCTACCCTGGGCCACATAGTTTTGTGCACGAGATTTTGGGAGATACAGGCGGGCATCCCATGGCCTAAAGCAAGATACTTGTTCGAACAGCTTTTGCGGCTGCGGCATTCGTCCGTGAAGCTGGCTAGCATAGTGCTGCGACATGATTCAGTGGGAGGCCTTTCCCTCTCAGCATATTTTCCATGTTTGGAGAAGGGAGGCGAGTGGACGAGAACGGCATCCACCAGCTCCTGTTTGCACCGAATGTAGTCCTCATAGGTTCCAAACTCGTACTGGCTTTGCGTCCATGGTGGGGCTGGGCAACAGTTGAGCAGTGAGGATGCCTGGTCATGCGGTCGGCATGAACAGGTGCAGGCCATGCATGGTCCTAGGCCGCCCAGGTTTCTTCAGGTTCCGCGCGCCCGGGCAAGGCCCGATTAAGGTGTACAAGTTCCCACCACTATCTACTTCATGCCTCATATAGCTGCTATACTAACACGGACATCAACTCCACCACACCTGCTTCCACTGCAGGCAGCATGCAAGAAGAGGTGGCAGTGGACTTGTAGCCGTAGCCGAAGGAAGAGAAGAAGTAGTAGAAGTAGTAGTAGTAGTAGTAGTAGTAGTAGTAGTAGTAGTCGTACTAGTACTAGTACTA